CTTCTAAAGATCATTCTCTAGCTAATAAATCATCACACTAAAGCTTCATGTTAGCATTTCCAACCAACTCCTTCTTTTATTTATTTATTTATTTATTTATTTATTTATTTATTCGTCAATCAATCAAATCGTAGACTACTTAGACATTAGGACTTATGTTCTATGACTTCGCAGGGTTCTGAAATATATTTTTAATTCTGTTGAGGGCATATTTAGGTCTATCATTTCACAATGATGATTATAAACAGTCATCATCTGATTTACCGGTCCAAATTTAGCGTAATTGGTCCGATGGCGATCTACTGCGAACAACTGTCGATTGCGTAATTGTCGGGAAGGTGCATACAAATTTAACCTTGACAATAGATCAGCTGAGAAACTGGACTGCCCTTATAACCTTCGCTCGTAGTTTTCGGTCATATGTTCCGCTTCTACGTTTGTTTTGTTTTGCACGATCCAACGTTAGTGTTTCCCGGTATTTACAGTCGATTTTGGAAATTTTAGAGCCTTTGCAATCATTCCTCGTGACCACGTTGGATTTTGTACGTGAGTGTGCAGAATTTTTTCACGTCTGTCACGTTCCATCTTCGATAACTTTTGAACAATTCACAGCAAAAAATAAGGAATTTTACATGACATGTAAACCACAACCATTTTAAAAGTACATCGTTTTAACCTACGTTTTAATTTAATATTACATATAAAATCATGCACATCAAAGGAACATGATAAAACTTATTAAATTACACGTTTATTCGATTAATTTTCTCTTGCGGTGTATTATTCTCCGCGCGATGTAAAAACTTATTGAAAAACATCGAATCGAATTTTCAACGATAAAACCTATAAATTTACATGCTCGTGTAAATTTAAATCAACAAACATTGAGAAAGCTAATATGGCGGATGGACCGATTATTCGGTGAGTTTTTTCTCCGCCGTTTATAGTTCGAGTCACTTCTTTAGTCGAGAATGTCGGAGAAAGTGTATTGTAAGTTTTAGGCACTCAGTTAAGGTTATGTGGAGCGATTTATCGTGCATAAGCGCCCCAACGAACATTTTCTACTTTGTAAGCCAACTTTTGCAGCGTTGTGCTGTAAAATAGCTGAAAAAAAAAGCTGCAGATACAGCTACAAGCAGAACCTAGCAAAATTGTTTTGTAGAGCGTTTACTCAACTTTTTCACAACTATTATTCAATTTACCAATCTTACTGAATAACAACAGCCAATAAACGCTAATGTCACTTTTGTACACATTCTAATCAACTTTCAACTTGTAGCTGCTAAACAAAGCTAATAAAGTGAATATATTACTCATTTGATAGCTTCTACACAACCAACCACCCCTGCTGAATAACATAAACATCAAAAGTGTTTTTTCAACAACTAAACAACCTGTACTCAGCTAATCAACTGTGTTAGCGTTACTTTGGACGCATTTTTACAGTCAGCTACACAGATAAAAATTCTGAATTTTAATTGTGATGTAAACATTCATTCACGTAAACTTAAATTTAATTTCACACAACCGATCAACTTGTAAACAATATTGTTTACAAAGATGGGCTTTTGTATACAATATTTGCTACATTGCATGAATTGTGCTAGAACTTTACACGATATATAATGTAAACTTATATGAAATATGACGCTCCATTTGTGTGCATCATATTGAACAGAAATTTACACTACTTTTCGAACTGTGTAGGTTTATTTTTAGACATGTGCACTTTTACAGCTTTTACTCTGCTCCTTTACAAAGGTGAAGTAACTAGTCGATAACAGTGAGTCATGTACACTATTATAAAGCCTCTTCTCAGCGATTTTGTTGAAGGGCATGTTGATTTTTTTACATCAGTTCAAAGTGTTGGCGTAGCAAAGTTGTTAGTGTCAAGGATTGCCAATGCGGTCGTCTCGAGTTCGATTCCAGATTTCCAGTGCAGGGTAAATAATTTGGTGGTGTTGCTTGTGACTAATTTGGAGTAATTTGATTTACAGCAAAATAAATAAGGCTTCAAGACAAAGCTGTGTAGTGATAATTGGATAACCGGGAAAAGGTTGAATAAGCGCCTTTCAAGTCCACACATAACTAAACAGTTGGATAACAGCTGTAAATACACAGCAAAAAAATAATTTTGATATCACATCAAAGTGGCTGCACTACACAGTTTGAAAAGTAGTGTAAATTTCTGTTCAATATGATGCACACAAATGGAGCGTCATATTTCATATAAGTTTACATTATATATCATGTAAAGTTCTAGCACAATTCATGCAATGTAGCAAATATTATATACAAAAGCCCATCTTTGTAAACAATATTGTTTACAAGTTGCTCGGTTGTGTGAAATTAAATTTAAGTTTACGTGAATGAATGTTTACATCACAATTAAAATTCAGAATTTTTATATGTGTACAATCATGTCGAAAATTTCATGTAATTTTTATGACCACATAAATAAACAAATGCAGTAAAAGCAGCGTAATGTCAGTTCATGCATTGTATTAATGATAATTTGGTCCTTTTTAGCAAGTAATATTACACCATATTTTCGACATGATTGTAGTGCATCCACTTTGACGTGATATCAAAATTATTTTTTTGCTGTGTAAGCGTTAATGGATATGCAATAAGAGCTTGTCCCAATCGTCCCAACAGCCATAAGTAGCTGACTAAGTTCGCCAGATTTGCTTGTAAAGAGGTTGAATAAAGGTTTCCTCATATCGTATAACATTTGAATACAGCTTGAGGCTGTACAAATGAAATGAGTAAAGCGTTTACTTTGCGAAAATTGTTAGTTGGGGCGTCCACAAATAGAAAATGGATGACAGACAAAAAAGTGATAAAAGCGGTCAACAATTTGGATATGGAAAAATAGAAAAACATTCTAAAATGCGCCCATGGTTCCTTTTTTCTCCTGACTGATGTACTGTGCCGTGAAGGCAGTTTATTCCGCGTGGGTGATAATTCCGCGTACTTGACAATCAGTTCGATTTTATGGAAATTCGATCGAAAAGCGAAATGCGTGTAATTCTCAATGTCCTGTAAAATTACAAGATGAGCCCATTTAAAGCCATACTTGTAAAATTCCAGTGACGCTTAATTTTACATGCATGGACATTTCAAGTTGTGTAAAATTAAAAACCAATTTAATTTTACATGAATATGTATGCTCTTTTTATGTGCATGGAAATTCGTGTAAAATTACAAAATAATTTTAACTGTGAAGTACATATATGAATCCTGATGAAATTTTAACTGCTACACAGCAAAAAAATAATTTTGATATCACGTCAAAGTGGATGCACTACAATCATGTCGAAAATATGGTGTAATATTACTTGCTAAAAAGGACAAAATTATCATTAATACAGTGCATGAACTGGCATTACGCTGCTTTTACTGCATTTGTTTATTTATGTGGTCATAAAAATTACATGAAATTTTCGACATGATTGTAGTGCATCCACTTTGATGTGATATCAAAATTATTTTTTTGCTGTGTAAATAAACAATCCTTCCGGATCAAAACGCTGCTACAGTAATTAATATTAATTCAAATATAACTTGATGGTATTGGGCTATTTTATATTATCTATTTTTATGACCCTTTGAACACATTTTTGGAAATTGTTCAGAAAAATTACTTTTTTTTCAAAAAGTTTCAGCTTAAAACTTTTAAATTTGTTTTAGGGAGCTTACATGTTGGTAGCTATTGTTTCTAATAGCTTTTTTTCGAAAAGCGCTTCCCCTTTATGAGTTCACTGTCGACAGTTTGTACATATGAGCTGGGTATAACGCCAACGTCAAAGAAGATAAACAGAGATTATTTCATTGGATTCCTTGAACATATGTCCGATACATAGATATCATTTGTTGATCATATTGCAAAAATGTTTGTGTGGGACACATAAAAACAATCTTTGAATTTTTGTTAGTGCAAAAATCTTTTTTTTTAAATTTATTTATTTGTACAGGCTCAATCGAATAAACTTTATAGAGCTAAATTATCTTTTGCGTTATACATTATTAATATCTTAAATCTAAAGTTAAAATCTAAAGTTAAAGGAATTAACAGTTTCATGGATAGGGAGAGGGAGAAGGAGGTTTGAAATATGATTTACGATACAATTATTTCATTTTTCCTAAAACATGAACTTATTCCTATTCAACTTGATATCAGCAGTGTAATTATACTATTATTACAAAACACACATTAAAAAAAACACACACACACACACGCAACCAAAATACAAACTAAACACAAGGTTGATCAAACTTACAATCTAAGGTTAAGATTCTTCAAGAAAACATATATGAGCTTCATAAACTCCAGATCGTGTCCAGCCAAAACATCCCGATCTGGAACATTAGGTTGTCTACCTCGAGCCCGAAGGGAATCGTACAGCTCTAGTGCAAAAATCTTGTTTTAGCAAAAAATTACTGTTCACCACTCTTTAGTTTTGATAATCTTTGACTAGCTTTGAAGTTGCAAAACGCATATTTTTTGTGGCAATTATGTTAGTTTTAAGCATATTGTTTTTTTTTGTGGGGTTTCGAAAAATAAAATCTCGACTACCGGAAACATCAGGACTTATTTCCATAAACCAAAAATAGCTGACGTATCGTATTAAACTGCATCGAGGGCCGTAAGTTGCCCACCACTGAAAATTGTCGTCTATCTAATTTACTGACCGAATAATCTTTCTCTTGATTGCTTTTTTTACCTGCGCACACTAATCTAATGGCTAGATACTCTTCTGCCAGGTACCATCAGCTCAAGAGCATAGTTTTTTTTTTGGCGGAGCCTTCATCATGCAAACATATGTCACCGCCCGTCAACAGTGATCACCTCGAACGCTGGAAAAGTCCCGTGCAGTCGCATCTGCAGCATCGATAGTGCCAACAGAGCGAGCAGGTCCACCGTACGACCCGAGATCCCCAGCTCCACAGTGCTCAAGGCGAGTGTATATAAAAGTAAACTCGAAACGATTTCAATGTTTAGTCGATCGAAAGCCGTTGCATTGTGAACAGGTGTGTCTCGCTCGATCGTGGTAGTAAAAGAAGGCAGAAATTTCAAGGCACGCGTTGTCCCTAGCCTTGCCCTATTGCTCAGTGTTCTGGGAAGAATTTGGACGGAAGTGTGGTGGGGTTTACATATTGTTCTGATTGAGCGTGCAAGTGTTGTGACTTGTTTGTGGGGGTGGATAATAGTGAACAGTGTGGGTGGAACGAAGAATAATAAGCCGAAGGAAAACTGGTCCAGTTGGTATCCTTGTACTGTTGTGGATTTTACCTAAAGTGGAGATTTTTAGCACCGGTAAGGACGCTTGCTTAAGATGCTTTGAAAAGTAATTTGTGATAATAGTCTAATAGTGTTTAACTTATAATTTGTAAATAGCAAATTAAATTAACTTCCACAGTTCCAAATATCTGCTTTCGTAAATATTTAAGTATATCAACACTAATAGCGCAAAAATTCTGCTCCAATCGCGGTAATAAGCAGATGAAACAGCTTACTCGCTTTCTGATGCCATAATTTGCCTTTCCAGTAATTGATATTTAAGTTACTGTTTGTTTTTTATTTGGGAGACTTTCGAAGGCTGGTTGAAAGTAATGTTGATATTTCCATAATGGTCACCAGGCTGTATAATTATGTGTTTTTAATGTTAGCTAAATGTTCGAACAAAGTTTGTTTCCCCAAATGCATGGTGGCTAGAACACCATCTCGTGAAGGTTTTATTCAATCTAGAAAATCATGCTTGTACGCTGGTAGATCACCTTTACTGGTATAAAATGTATCACAGAGCCCTAATCTTGACCACTTTAAACCTTGTTACTTGTTATGTCTTGTTAATAGTTACAAGACTTGGGTTGCTCCACCGAGGATAATTTTGAAACAAGAAAAAAAAATTAAGTAGTCATTATCTATGAGTATCCTAATCTTCTATTCGTTGTTCCCTAGTTTGAAGTGGTTCAGACTAGGGTCAATCTCATTTCTTGACTTTTTGCTAAAGAATGAAGGGAGGGGGGTGTACACGGGGAGGAGGCAGGTGAGAAATCGACGGCTAAATCCAATTACGCCCCTTTGAAATGTTGGCACTGATTTAATTATATTTTTTAATTATTTTTTGAAGCTCATTGAATTAAATTAGCTGTTTTTCAAGTTAAAGTTCTTGTAAAAACATTGTTCTTTTAATCTGTCCCGATTTACGGAAATCCGTTCAAGACGTTGTTCAGTTTTCTTTTCACCTTCTAAAATAGTTGGCTAATTTTGCAATATAGCCACTTTGGTGTTTCGACCATCAGTCATATGTCAACTACGTTAAAAAAAAATACACATATTAAAGTGTATTTAAAGCTATTTTGGAAACCAAAAGTCGATATCTTGTATTCTAAATCTATGCTATTCCTAGACTATAAATTCTGGTGAATGGTGGAAACATTTAAACTGTTGTAACTTTTTCGCCATGAATGGAAAAAAATGTTTTGACTGTAAATGGGTCTATCCAGCTAAAGTGAATACAAATGTTCGAAGGTTGTGGTATTTTTAAAAACATTTTTGGAAAGAAAATACATGTACGCCGCAATTAAACGAACAGTTTCATTTCTGAAATGTGCACAAAAAAGAATTGGTCAGAAAATCGAACCACAAAATAATTTCATCATAATTTCATTCAAAACTAAATAATATTACACCAATTAATAATTAATTGCCCTTGAAAAAGTCAGTAATCACTGTCGAATTGTCCCACACTGGGGCAGAATCTTCTTTTGTTGGTCAAAAATAGTTGCGATTAACCCCTGCATCCCTGAGGATTGGTGTTTTCGGCAAAGTTGTTCAGATGGATAAGGACTTTATGTTCAGATTGCGCTACAACTAACTTTTTACAGAAGCATCCTAAATTACCTAATTCGAAATTGTTTTCATCTAGAACCTAGTTCAAATGAAATTGAGTATTTTTGAAAACATTTTGCTTTAGGTTTGGTAACGGGAATCGAGAAATTCACCAAAATTTACATTTCACGATTCCCGGGAAACTAGTTTGACTTCCTGGGAATAACCTCTTTTGTACAGAAACCATGTTAAATATAATTTTTTACTAAAATTCACCACACAACCCATGAAATTTACTATACTTGGGGAAACTGGAAGAACCTAAGTAGCTAGTATACAACTCCGGGGGACGTTTTAGGAAACTGCCGTGAAAAAACGAAAACAATTTCCGGGGGAACTTTCAAAAATCTCCAGTGGTAATTGGAAGACACTTCCTGGGGAAGTTGGAAGAAACTTCGAGGTGAAGTCGAAAGAGTCTTCCGAGAGAACTCGGAGTTTCTTCATTTCAGCCGGAAATAAGTAAATCAAATCCGGAGAAGTTGAAATACACTAGCGGGCAGGGAAACTGAAAAAAAATAGGGTCAACGTTCCCTAAATTTCCTAGAAAAGTTAGAAGAATCTTCCAAGAGCAGTTGCTACAATCATTAAGGCCGGCGCACAATGCATACGCTTTCGGGATTTTTGACAGATAATGCATGGGCTAACTGTCAAAAAACCTGAAAACGTATCTATTGTGCGCCGGCCTTTAGAGCGAAGTCAGAGAAATTTCCGAGGGAAATTGCAAGAGACTTCCTGGAATAGTTGAAAGGAATTTCTTGGAGTCAGAAAACAGCAAAGACAGTCACATAGACTTCTGGGGAAACCGAAAGAAACTATCACAAGAATTCAGAAAATTCTTCCGTGGGATGTTTGTAATTATTTCCGGTTCCAGAGGAAGCCTGTAGGACTGAGATACTGGATACTATTCAAGGGAAAGTTGGAAGAAACTTCTAGATGATATCCGGAGGGAATTCATGTTTCCTTTCTTCTTTCCTTTATTTAAAGTCGATCTCTGTTCCGCAATCTAGTGCCAATCACCGATTGACATCGATTGCCATGGCAATCGAAAATATGCAGGAAGGCAGCGTAGGATGTCACACCCATTCAAACACACATGAGCCGGGACCAACGGCTTTACTTCCCTTCCGAAGAAAGACGTGACCAGAGATTTGTATGCCTCAGAAAAATCACACCGACCTCGGCTGGGATTGAACCCAGACCCATTGGGATGATAAAGTAGTCACGCTTACCACTACACCACCGGCGCCGACTGGAATTCATGTTTCCGGATGAAAACAAAATACAGTACATGATCGCTTTTAACTGAAAGTCCGTTAACTAAAAGAAGCTTCAGTTATTGGACACTTATCTATCAAATTTGTGCATTTCAAAATATCAAGTAGAACCACATGTACACGAGGCTGAACATTGATGCATTTTAAATGCATTTGACAGCTGGTTTGACACATGAAGCCTAGTGTATTAAAATTAGTGAAATATGTTTTATGCTTCATAAGTCGACTGGCAGCAGTTCTAATTCTAATAAATAACTGTTCAACATTATAATCTGGTTACTGGATATCAATATTTCCCGGGTAGTCATAAACGCCCGGGAAATATAAACACTAGAATCGAGGCGGTTACTCAACTTTGGGTGTGTCGAAGCTTTCAGCATACATTTTTGAAATATTTAAAGAAATGCATTTTGATTGGACTTCCACTGTTCAAAAGTTAAATATAAACGCTTAAATTCACATAAATCGTTCAGATAAGTTCTGTTTAGACAAATGTGTACGAAATCGTCAAAATATAATAAATGACGAAAAAATGATCATTATATTTACCAAATTTCGAACTACCCAAGACACTCTCGTATACGGCTTGATTTCGAGAAAATCTTTTCAAAATTAGTAAAGTATAGTATTTCACTTGGATATATACATTCAAGACCATATAATGATGCAATATGATATTCTCGTTGTCATGTTTTATATAATGGAATATGAACAGCGGCACGAGTGGTGTAGCGGTTGCGTGATTACCTCTCACTCCTAAGGACCTAGGCTCAATCCCAGTCGGCGCCGTCGGGATTTCCTGAGGCATAATATCTCTGATTACGCCTTCCTTCGGAAAATAAATCGAAGAAGAAGAAAACACTGATGATTTCGAATTCTAGGACGTTAAGGAGTTCAATTTACATATTATGGCCAGTGGGAAAACATTAGGGATCATGCATAAATAACGTAGCTATATCTAATAGATTGCCGGACTGAAGTTTTGAAATTCTTCAAACGTTATGTCATTTATGCATGTTCCCTTCCTGCGAACTTAGAGTTTAAAAAGATATGAAATAAAAGCTTCTCCGCGCACATCTCTTTCCTTCCATTTTCAATGCTCTTAACTCAGAAATTTAATCAGATAAAAATGCAAGATTTTTTTTTTCAAACTTAAATTAAAAATTTAGGCTGACAACACAAATCAGTAACAGTGGTAGATTATCGTTTCGTGGTATTTACAATGCCTGTTGAATTGTGAAGTTAATTTAAATTGAATTTATTTAAAACTAAAATTAAAATTTCTTGAAAGCAGCGATACTTTTGGATAAGCTTTACGGGAAAATTGCTCATCGCTTATTGACTATACTGCCGATATTTGCAAAACAGTCCCACGTTGATAGGAAATCCACAGGACATGGGACTATTATGCGAATAGCGGCAGAATAGTGCAAGGCAAAAGTGGTTGTTTCTGATATTTCTTATTGAACTCCGCGGCAAGTTGCGTATCATATCTTATAAAATATGTTCCTAATTGTATTTAAAAAATGCTATGCTCGAGTCCGGGAAGAAAAAGTAAAGTTTTATCATAAATTAATTTCGCTGTTTATCATGTGTTGTGATTTAATTAGTTTTATAGTGGTGGATTTTGTATTAGGAAGAGTGCCATGTTCCCTGTTTATGTGTTTTATGTGGTTGTGTATATTTCTTTCTTTTCCAAATTTTCCAAAATTTGTTCATGGTTGTGTTGGTGCTGCCATGGTGATTTATTTTAATGAGCTTGTTCCAGTTAAAAACAATCCATTTTCCTGGCGGGATAACCTTGATTGCGCGTAATCTATTTTGCGGTTTTAGTTAGAACATAAGAAAAGCTATTCTGTCGGTAAGGTGTGCACCCAATTACAAGAACATCGTTGAGTATTGTGGGGGATAATACATTACGATATATCCCAGGCTACTACTGTAGAAAATCGTAACTGATAGATCTTAGGTGGAACGCTTCGGAATGTTTAGAAAAAAAGGGCGCACGCTTGATCCAGTTTGGGATACATTATCGACTGCTTTCGAGAACGTAATTTCATTTGAATATCTTGTTTAACCAGGGCTTAAACAATCGTCACGTAAGTCATAGTTTGTTATGATAGCCTGGACGTCGCATGAAAGTGCAAC